TTTTCCTCGCATTAGCATTATTAGCATTAGCATTAGCCCAGCGCAGAAACGGAGAGAGACTAACTTATGGCAACACAAAATAAAACATGGGAGCGGTGGAGATGAGGAGGTCTCGGCGTTCTGGCGATTTACTCGGGAGTCCCAGCAGCTTCTACTGAAGCCAGTCCCCAAATCCGGGGACTTCCGGCCGGGGACTTCGGGTGGCAGTATACGCCGTGAAGTTGTTTGCGGCCTGCAAGTAAACCCAAAGCAGAAGAAGAAGAAGAAGAAGAAGAAGAAGAAGAAGAAGAAGAAGAAGAAGAAGAAGAAGAAGAAGAAGAAGAAGAAGAAGAAGAAGAAGTGACGTCAGCGGCTTCATTTGCGTAATCTTCCCTCAGGGACTTATTCCGGTGTGAACGTGATTTACTAGATAGTTCCATGGGGGCACTAAGTGCTGGGAACTAAATTGTGAAAGCGGCTAATATAATTAGACCAATGACAGTAACCAGGAATTGCTGATGAATGCCAATCTGTTTCTTATGCTTAAGTTTAGCTTGATGATAACACCTTGACAAAACATTATTAAACATTATTCATGTCAGAGATAGTGGATTCATTATCAGAAAAATCTGTGAATCATTAGATATACAAATTAAAATACAGCAATAAGGATGGTATGTGACTAAATTAAAAACGTTTACAGAATGTCACAAAGTACGTGCTTAATTGGACATTTCAAACGGAAAAACAAACAACAATGACCAAAACGACCAATTTGCATAAACATCTTGAACATTTCTGTCCTGCAATTTCTTCTTTTTGAATGACTGATGTATTCATCTATACAATATGCATCTGTATTGCACTTAAACCGTCTTGATTGTATCACTATGGCTCTAAAAAGGACGTTTAATATCTTATAAACTATTGCTTTTTCACACATTTTCAAGACTGTTACAAGCGGACGAAAGCACTTTTTGATATTCAACCATTAAAGCGGAGTGGTCTTGAATCAGTACCCTGGTCTTCTACGTGCACACACATCTCTGGCCCTCGCTATTTGGGAGTTAATGGGACAAAATGCGAAGGCAAGAAGCTGGAAATTGCACTTGACATCAAGGCAAAACCTCTCACATTAGGCTATGTCTTTTCAAGAAAAGAAAAAAAGTGTCTGGTGAGTGGCGAGTG